GCCTCATTCGACCAACTGCATCTTATTAAATGATATGAATTCAGCCAGACAATTTGATAATAAACCAGACATTTAAAAAAAATAAATAAAAATATAAACAATAAAATTTAAAAAAAAAAGAAAAAAGTAGTGATTTTAACATGACCTAAAAATTTTGGTGGGAAGCTTGAAGAGAGAGAAGTGGGGGTAGAAAAAAGAAGTTTGTATATTATAGTAAGGGAAAGTAGGGGAAGATTTTATTGATAAACCTTTAGCAACAACCATTAATAACATTCACAGAAATGGAATCTATGTTGTTATTCATTTAAACATCATCATAATTTTTATCATCATATATATATGTATTCAACATCATCACTTGACAAGACACCAGAAGTGTTGAAACAAAATTGCAAATTTTGTAGTGATTTTATATTATACATATGTTTAATATTTGAATGGAGCACTCTCTTAAGAATAAGTTTTGGTTATTGGAATTTTATTCCATGTGTAGTACCAACCCTGTACTTGTGTATGTATATATATATATATATATATATATACACACTTGTGGTTTGTTACAATGTGCATGTTAGGACTCATGTAACTAAAGAATGTAGTTCATCTTAAACAGTTTCCATGGTCATAAAACTAGAGCAGCAAGTGGCCTGCAACATCTCATCTGTGAGAAAGGGGTTGTAGAGTGAAAAATAATTTGTCACCCACAAGAATGTGAAGATGCTTTTGAACTTGAGAGTGGAAAACGAAGACTAGACAATTCCTTCCCATGTAGCAGCAGTACACCATTTTCAGCTTGATCTGGCTCTTATAAAGTTAGAGGATAGCCGAAGGAGTCAGATACTTACTGGAGCGGTACAGGGAACTGATCATTTTTCCAGTGTCTCTAGTAATGGATCATGTGTACAAGTTCCCCTTGAAGTTCAGGCTGAGTTTAAGGCAAAAAAGAAAAAGATTTCTAAATACTGAACTGAGTAAATTTCCTTTGCAATTTATTTTTCTTGTAGCATTACATACTCTGATGTCTATAAAATAATAACTGATTAATATTTAAATATATTGCAGTAAGTTTGAATGAAATAGAAAGAAGAATGGGTTGTACTAGAGTAATTGTCGTCATCGTCTGTCCCATGACTGGGTGTGTTAGGGTTGCTGTGCTGCTGAGCACCTCAAGGCCTCTGATTGGGAGGTTTAGAGGAGCATAGAACCGACTCTTAATTGCTGTTGTTCCCAGGTCCACCCCGACCTGATAATGTGGAAGGTTAAGATTATAGCAAATGGGGGAGCACCGTGTTTGGAGTTGATTTTACAGAGAAGTGGTTTGTGGGAAGAACCTGCTTGAGTGGAAATTACATCTCACCAATGGGGTATGAAGGGAATAAGGGTGGTTTCACTACAATGAGCATGGTATTGTGGTTCTTAGTTGTGAAGGTTAGAACTGAATGAACACTTTTCATGGAAATAGCAATAGAGCAGTGAGTGGCTTCAGACCTTTCATCTGTGAGAAAGGGGTTGTAGTGTGGAAAATAATTTGTCACCCAATAATTCATCATGGACAGGGTGTCACTGTTGGACTCTATCGAGCTCCTGTCCTTATATGGCAGCTGTGCTCCATTTTTGGCCTGACCCCACTCTTGTAAAGATAGAGGATAGCAGGAAGTGTCAGGTAGTACAGGGAACCAACTATTTTTCTTGCATCTTTAGCAATGGATTGTATGTATGAGTTCCCCCCCCCCATGAGGTCTGTATTGAGCTTAAGTCTGAATAGGCACTCAAGATACATGGCCTCCCTGAGGGAATATCTGTTCATCACAATTGGTTGAAGTTCTTGGTTTGATCGGTGATTATGGGATGTCACTAGTTTGTTTTTTGATGCATTAAACATAACCAGCCAGTTTTTACCCACACTGAGCTGTTAAAGCTAGGTCAGAGGAGAGATCAGCTACCAATCCCTGGTTATTTTTTTGACATCAAACTAAATTTAGAATGAAATAAACAATAATACAACTAATAAAAGTAATATAAACACATTATTTAACTCTTCTACAAAAGTCAATTACATAAGAAGATAAGAAACTTAATGCATAGATACATGTGACCTTTCAGTAAAAAAAAGCTGTCATAGTGACTACTATTCTATACTCACCACCACCTCCACTTACTGATACTACTTCTAACACAACCTATAAAAACCATAGTCTAATCATAGAAAAGTTTCATTGACAATCTAGTCATGTTCTATGTTGAATAAAGCTAAATGCTTTCTTCTTAGCTCACAATAAAAGCAAATTAAACTTATTGTATGGTATATAAACTACTAATAGTATAATAACAGTAAAATCAAGACTTCAGCAAACTAATATGGCTTATTCCCATCACACTTGAAAAATGCTTCTCTAATAATAATAAAAATTCAAATAACTGATACATTGGTTACACAATTATTGCATTATCTTGTAGACAAGCCATTTATCTGATAATAGCTTTATTGAATCACACATCACCAACCAATACTAGAACTTTAACAAATACTTTAGATAATACAAAATTTATATTCCATATGAAGTGTAAAAAGAACTACAACTGTTAGTAGCATTAACTATAAAAAAAATAAATAACCTAGCATTAATAAAATATAATTCAATTTAAGGACAAACATATTAAGAATATTTAAAAAATAGAAAAAAATAATGCATCATGAACTACTACTACTACTACATGATGGTGTAACATTGAAACTAAATATATAACATATAGCATAAATACATTTTAAGCTATAAACATATTTTTAGCAAAACAAATATAGTTTTCGTTTGAAAATATTGATGTCTAAGACTTAATTAGAAGAGAAGAAAAAGTTAGTAAAAAATACTTAACAAAGAATATTTGTTGGTCATATTTGTTGTATAATATATAATCTTTTATTTTCTTATCTCCATTATCTATTATTAGGATATTATCTATTATTAGGATATTATCTGTTATTATTCATGGCTGTAATTGAAACTCCTGTACATGTTTACACATGCTCACAAGTTTAGATTTTAGGGATATTATTATTAATAAATAAAAATATAAAATAATACCATAAATAAAATAAGATAAAAAAATAACATTAAAACTTTGTTTAAAATAAAATAAATAAAACCAAAATAATAAAAGTTCTTTGAACATGCAACAGAAAACTTTTCCTGCCTGAAAACAGATGCTAAAAAACACCAATCTATGGACACTCAGAGGGCCAAGATGTCCATCTACTTTCCTCGGCACTTTGCTCATCATAAGATGAAGTGACTTACTTCCTCTATTGCATACAACCTTAAAACACATATAACTAAAATAAACACACACCAGTGCGAAAATATAAATAATATTATATGATTTTAATTTACAATTTAACATGCTTTTAGTGTTATTTCCTTGTATGTTTTTTATTACTGTGAACATGAGGCTATCCCTGGTGGTGAGAAACCCTACATCAATTAATAAAATAAATGCAGCTGTCTAGTGTCCCACATTCTTAGTTTTGTTTGAATTGAACAACAATTAATTTGAACACCTTTTGAATGCCTTTTGTTGTAATGGGAGAGATCCATGGTAGAAAGATTTATCCTTCTATTTGTATTTCCCCTGTTATGGGCTTTATTATATCCATGATATAATAACACCATATTTCCTGGATGGAATGGAATGGTTGAAAGGAAAAAGAATGATAAACTTGTTTTGTTCTCTGAGAGACTTTTATATCACTAAGACTTACACAAAACTATATATACATACTTTTACATGTGTCCACGTTGGAAAATAATATGTCAAATATATCTACACAGCAAAACAAAGTATAAGAAGAAATGAAAGGAAGTGTCTTACATATAATATGGAGATACTCCTGTTTCTGGAGAAACCATTTTTAGGACTCCAGATGCAAACAGACCATTCATCTATGTCCCAGGCAAGGACATATTCCATGAACGGGGAAACAGTGAGTCTTGGGTTTTCCCAAATTGAGGACTGCGAGCTGGAGTTTCTTTCTCTATCTTTGAAAGGGAAATGGCACCATGGGTTTGTAAGCTGCTGGGGAGCTAGATTTAACTTTAGTCTGGGCTGTGATGGGACTCGGCTAAAGAAAGCAACCTCACAAAGTGGCTGCTGTAAAACAAATTGAAATTTGGCTGCCACTTTCATCAGTGAATAGAGTGATGTCACTAAATGGCTGTAATGTGATCTACATAACTTATCTCCACCAAAGGGAGATAAGCATCTTCTGTATTCTTACAAAGTAAATAAGACGTAAGCAGCAAGCATCAATCAGATACTTATATTTTCCAAAATAAACTTTTACCTTTCAATATTCGCTTATTCTAATTTTTTTTTGCTTTCATTCTGATATTATTCATCACATGACCACAAACAGAATTATAATATTACAAACAAAATTATATATGAGATACGCAAAAATAAGCATAGAAATAAAAATGATAAATTGATTTGGTATACATTTCAGAGAAATGATTGTATATTTTAAATAGCATATATATATAAAGAAATTTTATTGATCTATTGGTGGCAATATGGTTTATCCAAGAAAGTTCAGAATGTCTGTCTTCTTTGGCAGTCAAGAACAAAGAGAGAGAAAGTTTTGATTTTTGGTTTTTTTGGTTTTTTTGGCAATAAAATGCTTGTTCTGATGCATCATGGGAGTATTGTATATTTTATTTAACTTTCTTTTATAATTTAACTTTATCTTTCTTTATTATAAAGTACAATTTTTATCTTATATTTTAAAGTATTTTTATTGCTTAACTTTTACTTTTTCTTTTATTAATATTATTATTAATTATTTTGCTTCCAGATTACTACATAGTTTAGTAATAGGGTTTAAGTGTTATTTAGTAACTTATTTATTGCTATCACTACACTTATATTTTCCCAAATAAACTTTTACCTTTCAATACTTGTTTATTCTATTTTTTTGTTTTTGTTTTCATTCTGGTATTGTTCAGAATCTGGGAAATGGAAGACTTGCTTGAAAAGATACAAGCTGATGCCTCATCCACATACTGAAACTGGATCCCAAAGCAGCTTTGTTGTCAACAACAAACAAGTAACATCTCATTTTCTTTGTTAATACACAATACCCTAGAAGTAATTCCAGTTAATTTCTTATCTTGTTGTATCCAGATTTTATTTTTAATAATGCTGATTTCTGTTCCCTGATGAGGGTGAGAAGTTTCGTTTGAGTAAGACTTGACCTAAGAGAGTCCATTGCCCTTGCTACATGCTTTTAATACCAGTTGCTATAAAGTCTTTTGACCTTGTGGCATTACTGCTCCTAGTAAGACTAAGATTGGTGGCAAACAAAATGTACTTATTAAGATGATGGATTGTCATTGTTAGTAAAGCTGGATAGAAATTAAATAAATTTCAAGTAGGTGATATTTTCATGTGTAACTGAGTAAGTGACAAAGGTTAGAAAAATGCATGAGTATGCATGTAAAGGAAAGGAGGTGTTAAAAGATAGCAATTATGAATTGTGTGTGTGATAAAGTTCATTCACTAAGGAGAAAGATATCCCCGCATGCCCAGGACAAGATCCTTGTGGGTGTTACTTCTACCACTTGGAAAAGAGAGAAAAGAAAACAGAAATGTCCCTTTTTTATAACTGTTTTACAGAGCCCTCTAATGGTATCTTGGCAAAGCCAAGTGGAGGCAACCCCCAAAACCTCATAGAAAACAAACATAATAATTAGGTGTCAGGGTTTCATTGGAATCAAGCAAGTACAACCCTAATGGATATCCAAGCAGCAATTGAAATAGAAAACTACTGGATCTGGTTTAAAAGAAAATTTGGCTAGAGATATGATTCCTGAATGAATAATAAGAAGTCAGCATGCTGTAAATCAGGTGGTGGGGACTCACATCAGTGAGAGGGCGCCAGGGTACATTAAAATCTGCTGAAAGGTAGGTCCTGAAATAGAGTGCATTCTCTCTTGATAACCAGAGAACTTCCTGGAATCCAATACATGGAGTCTTCAATTGCCAACACTCGCAGTAGCAGTTGGTTCTCAAATTCCTAAAAATTGTCAGAATTTATAAGTGTTAGAATTTAAAATGTTATGTTATCATGAAATCATGTTACGATATTATGAAAATAATTTTTTGCTAATTGTTGCTTTTCTGTGAGCAATTTAAAAATTGGTGTTGGTGAATTATTTAAATTTAATTTTTACTTTTGAATTTTGCATTTTTTGTTCTAGTTCTCCCACTAGCAAATAATAAGTCAATGTTAAGTCATTTAGATAAAAGGAATACACTTCTGTTACACTGTTAACCTAAAGTTAAGTCAGTTAACTTTGAGATTTACTTTAATCTGCATTGTTTTGAAAACAACTTCAGATGAATAAGAAAAAGTAAGTGTGAATAATTTTCCTCTTCCTTTTCAGCTGACATGTGACCTCAACAATATACTGGCTTTGAAGTTTATCCTTCAGCAACCTTCTCCTGTTTGGTTGGATTTTTCAATCACTGATGTTAAATTGTATAAAAATATACGAGTGAGTCCTGAGGTCATCATCTAAGCATTCTTCATTTTCTTTTTACCATTTATAAATTTTTATAAAAAATAATGGATATCATGTTGATGTGAAAGTTTCCAGCATTTTCTGACAGCATTTTTTATTTTTTTAAATTCAAAACATTTTTATTTAGCAAGTAAAATATTTTATCTGGTTTAAAAGTAAATTCTATATTCTGTCATAAAAGAACAATTCCAATTTAGAGTTGATGAATTATTTGATGATTTTTTTTTTTTTAATATCTTGAAATTGTTGTAACTTTTCTCCAGACAAGGAATGTTGTATGGAATGAAACAAATGATTGTCTGTAGAATATGCTGAATAATTTCTGATCCCAGTTCCATGATTATTTGCGGTCTTGCATTTGCAGCAACTTGGGAATTGCTGCTGTCATGAAACAGAATCACAAGTTGACATCTGCAAAAACTCTTTTCTTTTTTATCAAAGTCACCATTTAAAATGAACCAATTGTTCATTGTAGCAATTCACAGTGGCAGTCTGTCGAACAATTCACTTTGAATTACATTTAAACAAAGAGAACTTCCAACCCATCCACTCTGTTGTGGATCTGTCATCTAGACATGATTTTCTTTGTTTTGAATTCTTGTAATAAATCCATTTTTCATTGTAACCGACTTTCTTGTCCCAAAATGATATTTCTTTGTTGTACAAGAAGTGAAAAACAAGTATTTCAATGCTAAATAATCTTCACTGATATAAGTTCATCCAAAACCCATTTTCTATGTTTTTGAATTTTTTTCCTAAATTGTATAACTACATACTACAATTGCACTACCAAGAAAAAATAGAAAAAATTTCTTTTTAAAATTTCATTTGATGTACAAAACAATGATGCTGGGAACTTTAGCATCAATCTGATAACGTTCGTTTTTTTTTAATACTCAATTATGGATTTTTTCACACAATTATTTTAGTATTACTTTAATAATGTTCAAGGGTTTCTTTTATATATATATATATATATATATATATATATATATATATATATATATATATATATATATATATATAATATTTCTTATTAGTATTATTTTTAAGACTAATGAATGTTTAATGATTATATTAACAAGTGTTTTTTTGTCTTTTATTTCTCTTTTTTATAATTTTAATAATTAAAAATTTTTCTGCAAAAATACAAATTTAATTTAGTAAGAATATTTGCAAGTAGAGGGAATAAGATAGGGTTTAGATAAATAACATTTTTTCATAAATATTGGATTTTTGATTTAATTTTTCTAATTAAAAACAGATATAACTGTGGACATTAATAGAATAAAATGTAATTTTTTGCTGAGAAAAAAAGAATGGTTTACATCATTTAATTCAGAATTCAATTAAAGAGAAACTTCAATTGTTTAAAATTAAATTGTCTTAAACTGTTCCAAATTTAAAGTAACAACTGACCTTTCCTTTGAAAGAATTTTGAAAAAGACTACCTCCTATAATACTGTTTTGTGTAATATCTAATGTGTGTGAATGTATGTGTCAATACTTAATTACTAAGCATATGTCAACTAAATTGTGTAAATTACATTGAGTGCACTCCCTGAAATATATTTTTGAGTTATTATTTAAAAAATGGGCAAAATTTGAACTAGATTCTCATGATATCTTAAACACTTCTGTGTAACTAGCTTCATTATCAGTGACCTTTATGTCCATAGATTAAATTTTGTTGTTTTTATCACTTTATTTTTTAACTCTTTTATTTTAAAAAAAATATTGTTGTTGAAATTTTTTTAGTCCAAGTATTTTGAACAGGATGCTAATGTATACAGTTAACTTTTCCAATCGCATCATCACAGGTGTGCTTGAGGAATCGCATCATCACAGGTGTGCTTCAGGAATCATCACTTTCTTTGGCTTTTCTGCTCTTTATCTATAATTAAAAAAAATACTTCTGTTCAAATACAATTATTTTGATAATATACATATCAAAATAATTGTTTATATTAAGGAAAATAATAAAAATTAATAATATTTTTTATACATTTCTTCAATAAATACATTAATGTAAATTTGATGATTATAATTTATAAACCTTTTGTCTGTTCACATTGATAAGGTGTTTGCCAACCCACTGTCATCCAATAAAACTCCAAGGTCATTTCAATCATTTTCAATATTGCATTATTCATGTAAGTATATCTATCAAAGAAACCTATCAAAATAAAATTTGTCTCTCTTTTACAAAGTGTAATTTGTGGTTCAAATTTCTGGAATTTTTTTTAAATTTGATATATATTCCTTATTTTTTTCTGTTAATTTTACTCAGACTCCTTATCAGAACAATCTTTTTTCCAAGTGGATGAAAGAGGAAGAAAATAAAAATGACAATCCTAAAAAGGTAGGTAAATAATTTTTTTTATTTTAAAAACTAGCATTCTTTTTCTGATGCTGGAAGTGGTAGAGGAAGTGAAAGTTTAGTCTATATGTATGTATGTATATATATATATATATATATATATATATATATATATATATATATATATATAATAATGCACTCTCCCGTTGGTTTTGATGTATGAGGATCTGATAGCTTAATTGTTTCAGTTATGAAATTTTGTGCAGTAATCTTAAGTGGCACTTAAGACCTGATAATGATTTACAAAGGAGGCCACATATGGAGCAAAAGTGAGGATTGTGGGATGAGATCACTATTAGATTGGCTGACCTTTTAGATCTTGCTCTTGCTTCTTGAAGACTATTCAGACAAGCAGATTGAAATCTGCTGAGTCCACTAAAACACGTTGATCTCCATTCTACTCGCTCCAAGGCTAAGCGCCCAAGGGTGTTATGTGGTATATTGACAGCTGACAAGTTGCTTTTCAGATTGTCTTTGTATCTTAGCCATGGGCATCCTACATCCCTGTAGCCCTAAGCATATATATATATATATATATATATATATATATATATATATATATATATATATATATATGTGTGTGTGTGTGTGTTTGTGTGCTCAGTAAGAATTAATTCAACCAGATTTTTATTAAACTTGACTAACAAATGAATCTTTCGACTTGTCCTAAAAGTTACTGTAAAGATGAATGAAGTTTATGACGAAACTGAAGTTTATAATGTTTTTGTTTCCAACCATCACTGGTCATTATCAAGAATGGTCAAAAAATGTTATCAGTTTCAGTTGTGGTATTTTTGAGAAACATAATTTTAAATGTACATGTTATCACATGCAGATGACAACATGCACAAAATGGTTTCTAATTATATCTAAGGGATATATATTTCATTTTTTATTTTAATTGATTCATCAGGAATTACATAATGTGAATGCCCAAGGACCAAGATATTGTTAATTTTTTTTATTTTAATATCATTTTAAAAGAAAGTACCCAGATTAAATATAATATCAGTCCATTATATTTGGTTACATTGAGAATTGTGACTTTGATTTCTATTTTTATTAGTAAAGCTGATTAATTGATATTCAGGTACTTTTAAAAGATTTCTGACTGAAAAATATACAAAAAGCAGGAGAAAAAAGATTCAGCTTTTTGTCCTTCCTGAAATGTCTTTAGTGAAATGAATTGTACAAAATTGTTTTGCCTGTAAGAACAGTAACTTGAATAATGAGCTCATTACAGCTATTAAGAAAGATAATACATCAATTATCACATTGTGGTTGTTTGTGAGGTGTCTTTGATAATCCAGTAATATAAATTGATCCATGATGTTTAATTAGATTTCTCCACTCTTGTAGAATTTCCAACAGCTTGTTTTTATATTTAGTCATCAGCAAAAAAAAAAAATCACTCCTTCATTTTCCTCACAGATTATTCATGAAAACATAAGTGAATAGATTAACTTCTTTTCAGTCCTATTAACACACACACAGACACACTGACTCTATCACTCAGTTTCAAAAATGCTTTAATAGTATTAAGCTATCAGTTTGTCAAAGAGGAAGATTTTCTTGTGTTGAAGGAAGAAATACATTTATATATGATAAGTTGTAGCAGAAATATTATTATGATCTCATGAAAAGTGTGTGTGTGTTAGGTAAATTTATGTCTTATCTGGATAAAACTTTTGTATGGCGCATTTTATTGTTTAGGACTTCATCGGATTAAAGTGATGTTTACATTGATGCGACTACACAAAGGGGAGTATATCAAAATTTATATATCATGTTCACACACACACACACACACACACACACACACACACACACACACACATGTGTATATATTGTTTGGTTTTACATGTTGATCTGCTTTTTAGCATGAAAACCTATTGTCATTTCATTATGGGTTAGTGCAAAAGCCTTCCAGTTTCATCGACCATTTCCATAGGTATCAAAGCATACCCCTAACCCAATAACATCAGTGCAACAGGGAGATAATGCTTTAGGAATTAGGCTTATATGAAAAATTGATTTTCTTGTGTTGAAGGAAGAAATACCTTTATATATGATAGGTTATAGTGGAAATATTATTACTATGATCTTATGAGATAGCACAGTGTAAAGTATCATGTTGCATACAACACTTAGTCCACTGGGGATTAACAAATCTCCTGGAAGAGAAAAGAGACATGGGCACATCAAAATAGTACTATAATTATTTGTTGCCCTTTCATAGTATATACATACATATATATATATATATATATATATATATATATATATATATGAATAAATATATTCTTAAGGTGTGCTATATTTATGGGATAAAGTGCTCTATATCAGAGATAGAGCATGTGTAAATATAAAAGTGAACATAGAAGTCAACACTTAGAGGTGATAGGCTGTTTGATGCTAGATGCAATTGTCAGGCGGCCTAACGATTGCATCTAGCATGAAACAGCCTGTTGCCTGTAAGTGTTGATTTCAATGTTCACGTTTATATTTATACATACATATATATATATATTATAGTAAAAAGAAAGAACAGTAAGATATATAATCCAATGTTCTTATTGATATTTTTATTTTTACAAAACAGTGGTCAATGTAAATTTACAGAGCATAAATATTACAAATTAACTGATTTAAGAATATGGTTCCATCGCTACACAGGAATTACGATGTTTCAAAAACAGAAACTAACAACTTCAAATTCAATTATATAATTAAATTAAAAGCACTAGTTCTGTTTCATTTTCAAGTGAATTTGAAACATTCATAGATTAACACACACACACACACACACACGCATATATGTATGTGTGTGTGTGTGTGTGTATGTGTGAATTTATGATATTCTGCAGCTTCTTAGGGAAGTGGAACCTGACGTTTCATTTAACATGGAAACAAGAAAGCAATTTAGAAGCTTAGCAAATCTTTCTTTACATGCATTACACTTTATATAAGGCTTTGTAAGGAGTAAGAAATATACTGCAGGTTTTTACTGAAAACATAAAAACTGTAAAGAGAATGAACATTTAATAATTTTTTAAAAATCTGTTCATTTTCTTTTCACCATCATAATCAGCAGCAGCAACCATCACTAATTTCTCCCTTTTATGTCATTTTGTAAACATTCTTGTCTTATAAATGGACCAAGTGTCATTTTGTCAGGTTACTAAATGTTTCAGTGCAGTAATCTAACTAAAGTTTGTGAAATTTTCACTTTATTAATTTACTATCTTTTCATATTATTTGCTGATCTTAAACTTGTAACTTTAATTGCAATGAAAATAGACAAATTTAAATCAAACAACAGAAAAGAAAAAACAAGTATTTTTACAGCAAAGAAGTAAGAACAAATGAAAAACAAAAAGCTTAACAGATTTGATTTTAATATATCTATTTTTTATTGCAATTATTAAATGTTGTACCCCTAATTTTAGAAATTTGGTCTGAGGAAGTGAAATCCAAATCTCAATCTGTGCGTGAGATAGATATTATGCCTGCCTCATAATAAAAATCTTAGACAGATTTATTAGGCAGGCATAATATCTATCTCACGCACGGTGAATACTAGACCTGGCTTCTTTAATATTTCCCCTTTTCTAGCAAGATTAATGCTCGACAAACGTACATATAAATTTTAGATTAAAATAAAATTCTTTTCATTTTACATTCAAAATACTCTATTTTAGGAATACGTTTTCACAACATCGCCCACATGATGCTAACATGATCATATTGAAACAGAATGCTGATCTTGAAAAATTTCAGTTATCTGTTTGGATTAGTCTTACTCTTATGTCCATTGTCTTTTCATGTTGAATTGAATATAGTCTAATGTTAATTATGTTTTATGAATATGTCCTGAAGATGGTCTACTAGACAGAAACGTCCGACGTTGACATTATATTAACATTAAAACAGCATAATTGCATATTAGGATTTTTGTTTGTTTTTCCGTATATTTTTCTTTATATATATATATAATTACTTCAAATATTATAGTGGACACTTTATTTGATATATTATGTCCACAATCATAATGTTAATAGAAGTAATAAAAATGTTGAATTAAAATAAATTCGTTGATTCTTTAGAAATTGCTTTATATATAATTATATACACATACAAACACACATACACACACACACACACACACACACACACACACATATATATATATATATATATATATATATATATATACACACACACATACATATATATGTGTGTGTATATATACACATATTTCAGTATAAAATATGTATTTAAATACATTTTTTGATGTAGGTGATCATGACTGTCAGCTGTTGTTGGTGCAATGGAGAGTGTCTTGGCATGATAAATTGAAATGTCAAGTTTGAATTACATTTGACTTTATTACACTTAAATTTCATTACATTCCAATACCCTTGGGAAAAGTATGAATCCATCCCTTCTCCTCTCAGCTATGTGGCAGTAGTAAGATTTGTATCTGGAAAAATCAGTTATTGCTAAAAATTGTTAATGCAATATTCACTTACAAAGAAAAATATTACAATTCAAAATATGTTTTGGCCTTAAATAACCCACAAAAGTTGATAAACCATAAAAAACAAATCAATCAATCAGAGCTCTCAACTTCTTTTGATATGTGTGACACATGGGAAACCATTCTGGCAGTTTTACCCAAAAGTCATGGCGACTTTTTGGAAAAAAGGGCCAGAGTGGTTTCCTGTTGTATTCTCCACACTTTCAAATTTAGAGTTTTTCATCACTTAGTCTGATTGTTACCCAAGGCTAGAGATACTAGTCTACTCTGTTATTTCCCAAGAACCTTAGTGCAAAATGAACACAACAATGCCAGAATTTAAACCTGCTCTCCAATTCCACATTCTGTACTGATAACCATTGCACTACATAATTTGTATCTAATCAATGCTAATGACATATATGGTTTTCTTTCTAGCTTGACCTTGATGTTGCAGCCATCTCCTCAACAATGCAACAAATGTGGGCTCTCACTCAGCAGATATCAAATGTCAAATGTGATACATCACTAGGAAGATATGAGGTAAAATATTGACACACTTTTTTATTCAGTCCTTAAGAGGGTAATTCATTTTTATTTGGTTGAATGTGACACAAATTTTGAAGAGTTTTCATTATCTTAGCTCATCAGCATATGTCTGAAAATGAAAAAGATTTAATTCTCTTTGATGAAGGGGACTTTTCAATTGTCATAGTTGCTATAGATGTGTGTTTGAACACATGAGAATAAAATGGACATCTGTAGACACAATAAGAAGAAGGAAGTGAAGTTTTTATTCATCCTTTTTGCAGAAGAGCAGCTTATTGTTGGGTTATTTCACTTAAACTTATGGTATATAAAGATGACGGTTGGGCTAATACATAAATAAAGGCCAAATTTACTGTCTATCGTACCATTTTATTGTTGACTCCATTTGATTACAGTGGTTAAAGTGGGTGACTATCGTTGTAATCCTTTTTGTGATTTGATAGTTCATACAGAGTCGTTTTGTTTTTGGCTGACAGAAATTAATTTATCGGATTTATCCTTTCTTCTTTTTCTTCTGAAGTTGCATATCCGGTCAAACTTACATATCTGCTGAATCTCCAACCCTTGCATCTTGAACGGCTACATTGAACCAATTTCTCACTTTTTCTGCTGCGCATATGGTTTTTTTTCTTTTTATTGGGCCTGACACATCCATGTTTTCCATTTGATTTTTGGCAGGACGTGTTATCATTGATTGATTTTTATGATGTTCCTTGACCAACATAAGCTATGTCCAGATACTGTCAGTTTCCAAGGATAGGAACAATAGAAGGAAGGAAAGGAAGTATGTGTAATAGAGAAGAGAGAGAGAGTTTTCTTTGTCACTCTCATAGTGAAAAGGAAAATGTATATTTCCATATGGTGTTACCGCTACCTAATCATGCTACAGACTAATCAGCTATTTTAGAAAGAATGAAAAAAAAACACCAATTCTAATCAATATCATTTCTGTTTGAAATACACCAGAGTATTTTGCTTACTGGAAATAGTAAATTTAATCATTTAGCTTTCAATTAAAACTAAGATGAAAGCTTCAAGAAACCTTTTTCATTTATAAAAATTAATTTTAAACTTTAGGTATTATAATTTATTGGAGATACTTATGTCTTATTATGACATTTCCTTCCCCCACTTATAAAAAATCAAGTCTTTGTATTTGCTTGGTATTTTGGTCACTCTTCCCGATCTGATTGTGTAATTTTGTAGCAGATCTTGTCTTTGTGCTGTTGGCATTGTTGGGTTTATTGCTGGTATGATTTGGTGATCTGGTGTATCCAGAATAGTGAGAGTCTCCCTGTTTGATGTTGGGATGGAATGGCACATTCTCTGGGCAAGTTGATGGTGATTTTTGTTTTGGCATATTTTCTGGTTGTCTGTTGTCCTGGGCTGTAAGGACTCTTGGTTTGAGCTGTTTTCTTTTTCTTTGATAGATACTCTCCCTAATATTGACCAGGTATGTTCTTTGTTCACTGATGGATTTTTGTCTGTTAAGGATAGTTCCAGGTTCCCATATATTGTGCATTGACTGGTTCCATTATGTTCACGATTTCTCTATCTTGACCTGAGTGTCTGTTGTAGCTTTGTTTTTGTTTATTTTGGCTGAGTTCATTGTTTTCCGCATACCTTTCTTTGTCTGGGTGAAGTGAATGTAGCATTCTTTTAGTCCTAGGTTTTCTGGCAACTCATATAGTGATGGTATGTCATTGTCTGTTGGGGTTGTCCTGGACATACACAAGGCTGTGTGTGGGCACTTCCTTTCTTCTTGAGCTTTCTCCCAAAGGGTCTTGATTGTGCCTACCATTCATCCTGTTACACCATTTGTCTGGTGGTGATATGCATCTCACTTAACTCCAACATATCATCCTGTTTGGAGAACTTGCCAGCTGCAAGAGACTATGTGGAGGCCCAAAACAATGCTTCAAGGATCAGCTGAAGATATCCCTCACACAGGTCAACATCAATCCTGAGGTCAGGTAAACCATTGCTGCAAATCGGCCTTCCTGGCATAGGACCATTCAGGTGGGGGACTAAGATATTCACATCCAACCATCAACATGAAAACGATCTGTAATGTGCTGTCAAGAGAACCTGACTCACTCAGCCACCTTCACCATCCATATTCCTCTGTGATTCCTGCTCATGACTCTTCAGGAGTAGGCTGGGCCATCACAGGCCACCGTCACCAGAGGGGAGAAAGGGAATAAGGAGAGATGATGATGATCTCAATGCTCAGATGTAAGCAGGTGCTGACGAGATACTAGGCTGTCTTTTCTGTTCCTACATTGGGAAGCCTTGTGGCCCTTTTTTCTACACTCAAGAAAGTTTTTATTTCTAAAACGGCAATCCTTGTTCCAATGTAGTCCTCCACATCGATAACATGCTGATGGAGGGGGGGGGCTTATATTTGCTTCGATTTTCATCATAATTTACCCTGTATGTTGTATTTTTTCTCTTATTATAGAATTTTTTTTTTCTTTCCGGGGAGGGTGAGAATCTTTTTTCATTATTATAGAATTTTTGGTTTCTTTCCGGGGAGAGTGAAAAACGATGACTTTTGTTTAACTTACATATATAAGATACAGCTGACTCCTCAATGTCCTTTGAGTCCCTCTTTATACTTAGGCACTTCTGGCAATCTTCTGATAATTGTTGTAGTGTTAATCCAGGTTCATTTTGTAATTTTGAAAGCATTCTTTTGTGCATTTCACTATCTTTTGTTGACACCATCTCTTGAACAAAGATGAGACACTTGAAATTGTCCGGGGTTAATTCCGCTAATTTGAAGTTGTCGCAATGTTTATTTACAATTGTGGCAAACGTGGAATAATCCTCATTATTGCCCTTTACCAGGTTAAGGCATTTCCACCTCTTGTGGAAGAGTGATGTTTTTGGACTGAAGAGTTCTTTAAGACATATCACTGCTTCGTCAAATGTTAATTTGTTTGTCTTTTTTTGGCGAGATATAATCCACAAACTTTGTATATTCTTCAGTTCCTAATTTTCTAAGCAATAGATGTAGCTTTTTTGCTTCTGTCCAGTTTTGACAGTCAATGTTAAAGATATCTTCATGTCTTCTGAAGTAATCTCCGAAATTTTTATCCTCATCTAGAGAATATTTGAAAATCTCTATGGTATTCATTACTGCGTCTTCGAAAAAAAGTTGCCTCTTTTTCAATATCTAATTGCTTGTTGCCCGCTACTTTCAATATTAGTTCCTGGAACTCTATTTGTCTTTCTTGATTTTCCTTCTGCGTTTGTAGCAATTGCTTTTGCCATTTTTCTTCCATTCTTTCTTGTAGTTGTAATTGTTGATCATTTTGGTATTTTACCAGTTCTACCAAAATATTTTTTAAATCTTCCATGATAACTCAATTTTACGTATTTTTTAATCCTTGTAACTCTTTGTCGCCAATTTGTTGTGGACGAGGGGAGGATTTTTCTATTTCTTTGTGTGAGTTTGAATCGCTCGTTGCCAATTTGTTGTGGACAACGAGGGAAAATCTTTTGTTGTTTTTTCTTCCCGTGTGAGTTTGAATCACTTGTCGCCAATTTGTTGTGGATTCTGGGATGAAATCTGGTCTCAAATTAATGACAAACGCAGGAATGAAATATAGCAAATAAATGTATTGACGTAATAATACAATTGGTAATACGGTTAGTAGATCCAGAAATGCGGTTAGTAGCAATAATAATATATATACAGTCTGGGAAATTCAGTATCGAAGTAGGACTTCCTTCTGAGTCTACGTGCTCGCAACTGTGACTCCTACAAAGCAGTTACCTCACACTCTCACTGTCTCACTTCCGGCAGCAGTACAAGTACACACTGGGGAAGTCCACTTGTATGAAAAAGGGGTGGACCCCTTAACACAAATTATTGATGAAAATGGTAGACGACCGAATCCTTCAAGAGCAAGTGCAATAAAGTACATGCCCACTTCAACAAATGTAACAAAAAAGCATTTTTAGAGTTTGCTAACTACTACTATACATATATACCTGATATACATGAATTAAGAGCACCCTTGAATAACCTGCTAAAGAAAGATATGAAATGGAATTGGACAGATAAATGTCAAAGTGCAAATGAAGAGATCAAGAAAGTCTTAATATCAGATTTGTCACTAGTTCATTTTGACCCTAAATTAAAGATTGTGGTTGCATCAGATGCAAGTGATTCGGGTATTGGAGCAGTGATACTACACAAATATGAGGATGGGACAACTAAACCAATAGCGCATCCTTCTGGTTAATAAATTAAGCATTTAACATTTTTCAACAAATGGATCACTTTCCCGCCAACAATAAAAAACATGCTTTGCGATTCCTTTGAAAAGTTTTTAAGCAAAGTCCCTAGATGGACAAAAGGTAGTAAAGAGATAGATGGATACACATGACATCAGTTCATAGCATGGTGTTAAAGAGATTCCCTTACTCATGCACCCATCTTCCTCACCAAGGCATGGGACACTTATCATCTTCCTCACCAAGCTACATGACACTTACACTTCCCTTTTGCCTTTTTTTCACACATATATGCAGAGAAATCACATTTCCTTTTATCTTAACAAACAACTACTAACAAGGAACTTTAACACTCATACATGCTGAGAAAAATTTAGTTGTAAAAACACAAAAATAAAAATATTTTACTTTTAAAAACCTTTCTTGACTTTTTTTTGCTTGTTATGGGTTGATTCAAATCCACAACAGAGTATTAACTAATACAAGATATTTTCTAAGCATGAAAAGCAGAATAAGAACAATCTGCTGCTGTGAATTGAATAAAGTATTTGGAACAAAATTTTGAGAGGGTTACTGAGTATGATGACTGACACCTGAACAAGGACAAAGGGTAAAACAACCAAAATTCTGTGAGTTTAACAATTACGATGAGGATACTAGTTCAAATGTATAGTCATATAAATTATCTTTTTATATTTTCTTGTTATTACTTTTTTCTAATTAAAAAGTCAATTCATCATTTTACTTGATATTTTTTTTTTTAATGTTTCCAGTCTGTATTGGAACTGTTGTATTATTTCAATTCTTTATGCTTATTTTTGTTTCAGATTGATGGAATATATGACATAAATTTGCTGACCTGAAAACTATTGAAATTCAATGATCAGAAATAAGCTGTATCCATTTTTAAACTGCTGCTGTCAACAAAGATGTACTATCACCCAGCAAGCAATAAGACAAGATATTTGTTGAATTTTGCTAACTTTGGTACAATGCCATAGCCTTGGAAAACCTTTGATATCTTGGAAACCGAGCATTCTAATCGCCACATTATGGTTATTGCTATGAAAAAGGCTTCATGTAATGACAGCATCAATTCTGTTTACTACTTTTTATACAACCAACATAGAACATAGGCAGAATATTATTCTCATTTAAATAGCTCTCACATTTGGAAATGTAGCTATGATATGAAGATATTAATGTATCTACCTTGACAAATCAACCTGAAAGATGTTGGGATGACTGATTCCAAATATTGATGGCTGTGTAAATCAAATGTGTTATGATTATGGAAGTCAGTTTTACATTGTGATTACTTGAGTTATTTCGTCCCATCGACTGCAGTCAGGGATCACAGAGTTTTTATCAACTCCATAATCATTTCTTTTGCTGCTTACTGTGTGCTCTTCACATGGTTTTGAATTCAGAGTTATCCTTCTCCTAGACTGGTTGCTAACTACATCTAAAGAACCCAGTCTGACATGCTATTTAACCCATAGCTAAGAGAGAAAAGATGGACTCCTACCTTTCCCAAGAATATTTGGGAAAAAGTGAATGTAACATGCTGGACGAGAATTTGAACTCTGTTTACAGTTTTCTTATTCCAAACCAATAACCATTACACCACCTGCATGTCCAACTTGATGAATACATTTGGCTATTGAGTGAATGGTCAATATAATTAATTCACTGGATATATAAACTCAATTTCCACCAAAGTAGCAAAAAGCTAAAAGAAAAGACCCCATTACTTCAAAGAAGGTTACCCATTCTATAGGGGCTCATTCATTTAACTTAGAAATGTTTTGTGAACTTCTTCTACAAGGAGATTAATATAAGAGCAGATTCACAACAACATAGTAATGTTAATTTATTATTCTTTTCAACATTTTTTAACTTGTTCATTCACAAGGATGTCCATATTGCTTATAACTTTGGAAAGAATCATTAAAATTCCAAACATTTTGTTAATAACATGAAAAAAATGAGGTCAATTTTCTGAACAATATTTGGGCTAGACATCCATATTTGTACATTCATGGAACTATGTAAAAGTACATCACTTCCTGTTTAGAAATACATCACTTCCTGTTTACATATCATTCATATCATTTGTAATGAATACACTTTTTAAAACAATAACAAAATAAATATAAAATTTCATTCAAATTTTATTATTACTTTAAAATATTCTGAATAAAACTATCGTTATTTCAATTGATATTTTGTCCATCATTTTTACCATCACCTCAGTTTATATCAACTGATGTCATTTGTTTTTAAAATATCTTTCAGATCATGAAATACTCAAAGTAGAAACACATCTAATGGTACCCAAAGAAACAGAGAGAACATTTTATGCTTTTAGCACACACATGTGAACATCTCAAATCTGTCTCTTATCTCCTGTGCATGCATTATCTTTACAAAACTGAATTCCAATAGCTGATGACATCACAACATCATAAATTTGGGCTGAATTTCTGGGATGAGGAGGTATAATTATTTACACTATTTATATTCAGATTATTTTTCTCATCATCTTTATTGTTTTTATCACAACATTTCGGCCATTGTGTCCTCTAGCCTCCCTCAGTTGTATATCAATCTGGATAAACTATAGAATATTCTGAATTGTACCCTTTATTTAAACTATCATTCCACTGATATCCAGGGATATCTCATCTAGTTCTTATTTTGTGTCCTGGGGATGACAATAAACTGTATTCAGCAGCAAGGCCTCTGATCAGGAGGTTTTGAGGAGCGTGGAACCGCCTCTTAGTTGCTGTTGTTCCCATGTCCACCCTGACTTGGGGTGGTAGCACTCGTTAAGGTCTCCGCTATGGGTAAATAGTTTCCCCGCTTCCTTGATCTGGAGTTGGAATACTAGGAAAGTGTAAGAATGGGTTTTTTGTAATAATAATACCATCAACACAAATTGCAGTATATAAAGGGCACATTCACAAAACCTGTTTACAGAAAACTAAAATTTCCCCTAAATGGGGCTACCCATTTGCTGTGGGTGGCGACCTGTGATGCCTGGGGATGAAGTCATGGTGACTGAGTGACTCCTGATCTGGTATAAAATGACCAGGAGTTTCCACAACACACCACTTCGGTTCCTACCTGGGATAGACGGGCGGATAGGATAGCCCAATCCATTCCAATCAGCTAGTCACATAGTGGCAAGGGCTAGTTGGGATGATAGATAATGGGTTTGACAGGGCCATGAAACCTTACATCATACTATACTTGGGTAGCTATGGTGGGGGTGTGCACTCTCATCACAACTATACTGTGTCGCCTTGGCGGAGTAGGGTGAATGGGATTAGTCCCCCCTGATAGCGTCCCTTAAGAAGGAACTCCAAGGTGGGTGGGGAGTCCAGACAGCGAATACAAATATTAAAATTATATGGCTATCTCTTATAAGCGAACCAAGAGACACTATGAGACTTCTGAAAGTGAAAATGAAATAGAAAAAAATCAATTTCCACCTTTCATTGTTGTAGAATCAGTAGAGGGTGATATATCAAAAGTGTCTCTTTTCGTTTTGCAAAGGGTTATTTCAGACATGATCAAACCACAATCTGTTAAAAAAATAAAGAAAAATAATACCCTATTAATTCAAGTGATATCCAAAAAAGACGCAGAGAAATTGCTAAAAATCAAGCAAATTAACAACAATAAAGTCAAGGCCTACCCCCATCAATTCCTTAATTCATCAAAAGGAGTAATAAAATACCCAGAACTGTCACCTTGTTCACTAGAAGAAATTGAAAATGATGACACCCTAAAAAAGCAAGGAGTAACAGATGTTAAAAGAATGCAAATAAAAAGAAATGACACAGTAATAAACACCAACACATATATTTTGACATTTGACAAACCGACTCTACCAAAAGAAATAAAGATAAGGTTACACAATAGCCAAGGTAGAGCCATACATTCCTAATCCCTGTAGATGTCATAAATGTCAAAAATTTGGTCATCTTCAAAATGTTTGTATGAGAACATCAGTCTGACGAAGATGTGGGGAACCGGAAACTGAGCATGATGAATCACCTTGTGAAAGGCCTCCTTTATGTCCAAACTGTAAAGAAAAATATTCAGCAGACTCCAAAGAATGTAACATTTGGAAAAAGAAAAGGAAATAATTAGAAGAAAATACATGCAAAATATCTCATTCCAAAAAGACAGGAAGCAGGTTGAATCTAATTCACTTCAAGCATCATATGCAAATATCACTAAAAGATCAAATCAACAAAAAGTCATCCAAGGAAACAATGCATTAAGAAGCCAAGATCTTATAACTTTTATTAATGAATTAAAAGGTTTAATAGAACTACTAAAGTGTAGTATATCACTCATAGATCCAAACACCCATAGACAAAAAAAATCCTGTTCCGTCAACCTCAAACAAAAAAGTCTTTACCCATACAAAACAATTAAATCTGAAAATTCCAAGCCAAAGTACAAAAATCCAAGAAATAGAAACCTCTAATTATTCTCAAGAGAATCAAAAGGTACATCAAAAAAATAACTCAACTTTTAGTGAAGAATCAAGAGAAATGGACATAGAGGAACAAAACTTTAGCCCATCACAAACAAGAGAACGGTCATCATCTTTACAAAGATCATTAAAAGAAGCTAATGGAAAAACAAACCCTATATTGTCAACCACAAACAAAAATGACTCTTAAACCCGAAAAATCCAAACGAAAAAAAAACCAAGAAGTAGAAACATCGAAACATTTTCAAGAGAATGAAAAGATACAAAAAAAACAAAAAAAAATAACTCAACGGACCAAGAAGAAGAACCAAGGAAAATGGACATAGAGGAACAAATCTCTAACCCATCACAAACAAGGGTAAGATCATCATTTAGACAAAGTTCATTAAAAAAAATGAATCTTAAAACTAAGGGAACAAAATCAAACAAGAAAGTAGAAACAAAAGAAGTTCAAAGAACAAAACATAACAAGAAACAAAATGCTAATAGTCTGAAGTACATAAAAATGATAGACACTTCACCTATATTAAAAAAAAAAATTGGACATGTAAAAATTCATAATTCATAATACATAATCAAGATGTAAAACCTTATTCAATGGAATTGTAAATGAGGTCAAAACACTATGAAAGTGTAAAAATAGGTTTTAATACCAGAAATACTTTGTAAAAAATTATTACCAGCAATACATTTTTGAAAACCAAATGTTGCAAGCAATGCATTTTTGAAAAACAAATATTACCAGCAATATATTTTTGAAAAAAAAAAAGAAAAATATATATTACCAGATATACATTTTTGAAAAAAAAGAAAAAATATTACCAGTGATACATATTTGAAATAAAACTATTACCAGAAATAGATTTAAAAAAAAATATTACCAACAATAAAAATTTTGTCGGCATTAAATAACCCATTGAGGTTGATATGCCGTAAAAACAAACCAAACCAAACCAAGCTAGTTCCTATTTTTATTTAGTACTGTTCAGTTCACTCACCCATTTTTACTGAGTGCTAGTACACACTGCCTGACCAAAGGATTGAAGTCACAGTCATTGTCTTGCCTCTCACTAGGGCTTTTTAGTGTTCCAGTGAGGGGGCACTTTACTCACATGTAAAAGAGAATACAGAGAGAAATGTTTGCCTTTTTATAGGCCCCCTAGTATGAATTTTTAGCAAAATCAAGTGAGATAACCCACAAGCCTTCCTCATTGAACTTAATGTACCATGTCTAAATCTGCATTGCAGTTGATGTATTTTTTACTGGATTCTCTCATAAATATAGTACAGTCTTGTTCTACTGTGTTTGAGTATATGCTAACATAAAGAATATTTTTTTCTTTTCCAGTG